AAAAAAAAAAAAAAAAAAAGAGCAAATATGGCAAAAACAGAGTAACCCTTACGCCACATTATAGCAAATATCTCGACGAAGTCCCAGAAATTGATGTAGTTCAGCGCCATGCAGACAGCCACAACTTTGACTCAAGATTAATGTCAAAAGATTCAGAGGCCTCTCAGAATAAGCCTGTTGAAACGACCATAAATTAAATTAAGATCAACCAACATCTTAATGTACTGCCTGGTAGTCGCATTACCGTAACCCCCAGTCTACTGCGACAAGCGCCTTTACAAAAAAAAAGAAATAAACTCTTCTATATATCACTTTTTCAATTCCAGAGAACAGGACATGTTAGTTAAACAGATAATTAGCAAAAGCTCCTTAAAAACCAAAAAAAATACTCCTGAACCATTTTCCGGTGCCAAAATAAAACTACAACTTTAAGAGACCAAAAGACGATTAATCGTAGTTACTCCATTTCACATAAAAACAAGAATAAAAACAAAAGAATTAGCCGGCTTTATTTACAGCAAGCTATTATATCTGACCCATTCTCACTATACCTGCATCAAATATCACTCTTATTCGTCATTATTCACACATTTTTCAAACGCAAAACCTATAATAAGCCTTAGAATTTTTAAGAACAACGCTTTAGAAAGAAAAAATGCCTCGAGAATCTTTCAAATAACTAAACTGATAAATTCCTGTGAACTTTCACGCTACTTTACACTAGCAAGCGCTACTTTACACTCATAAAACTTACAAAAACAAAGGAAAAAATTTAAAACGTAAGCCAAAAATTAGATAAAAATTATTCAAACCCAAAATAACTGGTGGCTTTCAAACCTTGTCCTAGAAGAAAAAAGCAGAACAATTTCTAGTAAAGCAACCACTCAAAAAGCTTAGAAACAGAAATTTTAGTTCCATAGACCTATGTAATTCAGCAATAGAGAAAAAAATTCACAAAGTGGAACATTTCAAAAAGAACGAATCATGAGCAGTTATATGAATTATAATCACAAAAATACAAAGAAAATACCAATATACAAATAACCCAATAAGATTTAAATTTAATGTTACAGAGGAAATTAAACTACTTGTTAGCCAAGTAAAACTTAACTCTACAGTAGTAGACTACAACTGATAAAGTAATTTACAAGTAATTAAAAACCAAGCAAGAAATTTAAAATTAGGTTAACAAACCAGGAGGATCAACAAAGGAAGAAATGCTCGACGTGTAAGGAGCACTTGACTGTAAGTCATCATTCAATAGGCGAACCACACCAACGCCTCCTCCTAATCGCCGGTAATTCATGCAGCCAGACTCACACCACTGATTACCCTTCATATCGTACACTTCAACGGTCTTCAAATAAGTAGTACCGTCAAATCCTCCCACAGCAAACAACTGGCCATTAACAACGGCTAACCCCACCTAAACAGTTCTGTGTATTATATTCAGAAAACAGCTACAGAGTTGTCCCTCCAGTCTTTTGAAATATCTTATTTCAATCTTACGTTTCTTACAGGTTAGAACGCGATCACCGCACGTATTAAAAAAATGTGGAGCAACTGTTACGGAAAACCCTTAATCGTTCTGATCAAAAATTTATCTAAGAATACCAATTTAAAACCGGTTTGAATAAATAGTTCACTGAATTAAAAAATGGTTGCAAGCGACTGGGCATTGCAACCCAGACAGTATACGCGCTAATTGACTCAAATACACCTGGAAAGCGAAAATATATCAGTTGAATTCTAAAAACTTCATCTAACTTGGTATGTGTGAAGTTTTGCCCTCCTTCTGAGCTACTGCGGTTCAATAGCAATACCTCGTAGTAATAAACAAAAAGACGTATGCTTTTATCTCAATCAAATAAAGTGCAACATTTAACTAAACTAAAAATGTTCGATTATTTGAAAAACAAGGCTTAGCGTTTTCAACTGTGTTATTTTCCCCAATTATTCCTACTGATTATACTATTTAAACCCCAAAAACTATGCCTTTTCAATAACCACAGAATGATAAAAAATTATTTAACGCGAACGTTGACACTTCCATGATAATAAGCAGATTTCGAAAACATTTTAGTGTTTCTACCTTAACGGCTGCGAAGCACCTATACACCTCAGATTCCAAATACACACTGCATTTTACAAATAACTATCAAATGTCTTAAGATACTATACTTTTAAGGCTTAAACTAGAGCATTTATTAAAAGTGATAGTTCTGCGACTTCTAACAAAAACGCGTGTGCACCACTCAATCATTTGCAAGCTTTGAATCAACCAGAACACCAAATTGAAATGAAAGGAAAATATGCAACTATAATTTTTATAGTAAGACAAATTGGCTATAGAACTAAAAAATATACTGAAGCGAAAAAGTCAGTTATTCTGTACCGGACTTGAGAGAAACTCGTTGAAAAAAAAAAGTTTTCATTCAGTTTACCAAAAAAGTATGCAGTAACTTCAAATATTACTCCTGAACGACGATTATTCATTGCTACAACAGTATTCCACTCGTTTGTCACTGGATCATACTTTTCAGCCGAAGACAGTTCGCAGCTCTCATCACGGCCACCCACCGCATACAAACAACCGTTATATACAGCTGTTCCAAGATGCTTTCGCCGTGTAGACATAGGCTTTACCATCATCCACTTATTCACTCTGGGATCGTATCTGAAAACCGGTGACAAGAAATAATGAGTTTGAATCATAGAAAGCTCGCTAAAACAGAAAAAAAAAAGACACCTCTCCACTGTGCTAAGAGGTGATTGACCGTCAGAACCACCAACAGCATAAAGGCAACCACCTAGTTCAGAAACCGAGACACCAAGCCTTCTCGTGCTCATTGGAATCATCTTCGTCCATTCATTCCTTTGAGCGTCATATCTAGAAGAAAAACCGAATAATTAAACAACTAAAAACTTAAAATTTTGATGACATTCATCTCTTGAAAATGTTAAGGTACAAGAAGTAAAAAATGCCCCTTCAAAAAATAATGATAGTATATGGCAAATATCATTTCACTCAGTAAAACGATTCAGAGTTCTAAACCTCAGTGAAGGAACATGAGAAGGGTTACGGGCGAAATAAAACCACTTAAGAAAACATCGGTGAAGAGCGAACAGTCTACGGAGAAATAAAATGGGAACTCATTAGGTAAATTCTTTCTGAGAGACTAATGTAAATCCATTTTTCTCCGATAAGTCCAGTTTGAAAAGATTTTGAACCAAATTTTACCATATTATGATGATAAAAGTAAATACACTCTCAAAAAAGAATAATAAAAAAGACAAAAATTTTATAAAAAGTCAATTACAATACAATATAATGGTTAAGACGAACCTTTCAACTACGTTTAAGCACGATATGCCATCTTGACCACCGACTGCATAAAGGGCAGAATCCAGTACTGCAACTCCAACCGAAGTACGACATGTGGAAGTTGGTGCTACTTCACTACTCCAAAGATTCGTTGCTGGATCATACCTAGACAAATAATATACAAATAGAAATAGTTACTATTTTTATAATTTTTATATGATTAATTTACAAAAAACGAAACTAAAAAAACCTGGTGACGAAAAAATAATGATAAGCAATAGTTTCTGACATTTTTCGCGGTACGGAAACATTAATAGGCGAAAAATAAAATAATGAATATGAATTTCTCAAACCTCTCGACAGAATTCAAATAGCTCTGACCATCATGTCCCCCGACAGCATATAATAACTGATTTAAAACAGCTACACCAACACCACATCGTCTTTTACTCATTGGAGCAACACAACGCCATACCCTAGTACTTCCATCCATTCGCTCTACAGAAGCTATTGCATCGCCACTACACCAACCCCCTACTGCATATAGAGCCTCACCGTCATACCGTTCAGGTTTCCGGCTTCTACATCAACAATAAGAACAAAAGTGACATAGAAAATAAAAATGAGAAAAACGCTGACTCTATTATATTTCCATTTGATGCATAAATATAAAAAAGATTCACCTTGTGCGCGGGCCCTGCATGTTCGGCCGTTCCAGAGGAAGAAGAAGATAATTTTTTGCTTCGTCTACAAGATCACGACAAGATCCATCAGCTTTAATTAGCGGATCTTCACTGACCCTACTAACCAAAAATTTTGCTTCACAGAGTGGTAGTCGGACATGTTCTAGAACCTAAATAATACACATTCAGCTTTAAAATATAGAAAGCAAACTTCATAGTAACAATTTAAATTAATACACTAAAAATAAAAAGCAGTCCAAAGCCTACGGTAAAAATTTGGAAAAAAAACTAAACTTTGGTAACAACGTACGACGCGCGTTCAGGTCATAACGAATCCAGGCCATCACCGCTTCAAATACAGTCTCTTCAGATCGCACGTTTAATTCTTCACTTGAAATTATGTCAATCAGCTGATTTAATGGAAGTAACATGAATTCTTCACTTGCAGCAACATCCTACAACTCCTCTTACTCACAAAATACAACCTAATTAAATAAAAGGAAAAATTGCTTTAGGAAACTGAATAATCAAAAGACTTCTACCTGGAAGTTAAAGTGAGTGAACTTGTCAGCAATCCGCATTAAATCTCGACAAGCGTGGGTGTCAGCGAAAGCCCTTATACCAAGACAGTTTGAAGGATCAAGCTGTTTCTTTAGGAACTCACAACAAACCTCCTAAAATCAGAAGAAATTTTTTTGAAGTCACAAATAACTCCCTCAGATTCTCCTCCAAAAAAACTATCATCAGCAAGCAAACTGTGAACTAGATTAACATTATAATGTCTATTCAGAAAAAGTAACCCAGACGATTCGTTCCAAAATTTAAAAGATTATAAATGACTCATACTTTAAAATAAAACCGAAGCTCAAAGAGCTATGAAAAAAGATCAATTTAAAATCAAAAAACAGGCAAGGTGTTTGATACCTGTATTTCATTCAACTGCAATAAGCAAGCTGCAGGTAAAAGTAACTGCACATTAGTGTCAGCTATAGAAATTTCACCAGTATAGCAAAAATCAACAAGTGCTTGAAGTGTTTCAGGATTGATATCAACCATCTGTACTTCCTCTAAAATAACTTTCAATAAACTGTCCAATTAACTGACAGCAAGAGTATAAGTAAGGGGGCACTTCTCAAAAAAAAAAGTTAGTATAGTAGAGTTGTTGTAACAAATTTCAAGCTGACCATGACCTTTGGAAGCGAAGCGCCAGATTACGAATTAAAATAATCAACTTGAAAAGTTCTCGACAGGGCGATTTTCACCATTTCCGTGAGGAAAAATCAGCAAAAGAGCAAGACAAAGAAAACTGATTGATATCGGTTTTTAAATAATGACTATTCTTCCTCTCTTTTCAGACAATCCACTTGAATGAAACTTAGGTTTAATGTACAAAAAAAAAGTCTACCTAAATTCTCACTAAAGCCGTCATAGAAAATGCAGTACAGCCTGAGACTCACCAAAGCTCCTCCTTTACGACAGATAAATTCAACTCACTGAAATTTAAGCTGGAAAACGTCAACAACTACAGGACAATATTTCTCCACTAAGAAGCCAAAAGTAGAGCCTAAATACGAATCGTCAGCACGGCCAGCACTTTGACTGCGATATAATATTTGTAGGTTAATAATTCTCTGAATTTTTAAAAACCGGCAACGTTTTTCAGTTCATAAAGCATTTTTAAAAAAATGAAGTTACATACTACTAACATCTAATTGGGAGCTCATAAACTGCCACACTTAAGAGTCTATTTTTCCTGGCACCCCCAAAAGGATGCAAATTTGTTGGGATACGCTCAAAACTTTGTTCGCTATCTGCTAAGCAAGCTTTAATTACAGAATTTGCCTGCTTGATGAGAACCAGTCATTCCAAAACCAACTGAGAGGAATGAGAGACGGAAGGAAGGGGCAGCGATCCTCCTAAACCTCCACCCTCAACCGTAGTAGAAAACTTCCTTTGATT